ATCGCTATATCTTCTACTCCTGGGCTTTCTTTGCCTGTACCACCAGGCTGTACAACCAGGCTACACATATCCTACTAGCTCTCTGACTGCTGTCATATTCTCAACCTTATACGAGACCTCTCACTCTCAAGGAGTCACTAATATCGTTGATCAATCGGAATTTATCAGTCTCGTGTCATCGACTAGTCACGTCAACTCATTACTATAGTAATTGAACTCTTTCTCTCTCCTCCCACTCTCCTTCCCTCTCCTCTTTTTCTTTCCTTCTCTCTTTGTCACTTTTGTTTTGAGCCGGCACTTACAGCCAATGATCAGTATCCGGTTGTAACTCACAACTCATTAGTACACGAGACCTCTCACTCTCGAGGAGTCGCTAATATCGTTGATCAATTGAAGTTTATCAGTCTCGTGTCATCAACTAGTCACGTCAACTCATCACTATTAATTAAACTCTTTCTCTCTCCCACAAGTGTTGAAGCTTTATCTCTTTCTTTATTTCTCTGTCTCTCGTCTTATCAATCAGTCACCATCACTTATCAGTGTATGAATTATTACATTATGTCTTCACTGCACCTTGTTAATATAACTGTGGCTGTTAGATCATCATTTAAAATCCTACTTCCTTGGACTATTCTTCATGTACCAAAAGAAGAAGACACTATTAGTGATTTCTTTTCCAACTCTGTAAGAGCTCGTCTCACTGATGTCCAATGTGAACTTGACTCAGCATTTATTGGTCGTGATAAAGAAATGCTTGACAATGTAGATATTAACCTGCCAGTTGTAGCAGTTATTACTTCATTTGGACACTATATTAAATATATTGTCACTTGTGCTGCCACTTCTACTGGTTTAAATAGTGAAGAATGCATTCCAAATGAAGATGCAGGTCTTCTATCTGTGTGTATTGTGCTGTGGATCAACCCTTGCGTCAGTGCCGCGTGTGCAAGGGGAAACTATAAATTTAATTGGAGTGGCCTTATCTATTTATCATATTTTAATCTATTTATTCATTTCCCCTTTTCTTTTTGTTTTCTGGGAGCTAGCAGTTCTTGCTGGGATGTCTGTGCTATTATCAAACTTACTCAATTTGGTTTATTGTAATTAATTTATAATTACAAAACTGAACCATAAACTATTAGGAAATTAGATTTTACAGGTGAACAATATTATTTAAAAAATAGTAAGAACCACCACTTCTGTCTTGTATATATTTAAGATTATATACTATAAATATTTGTTCTTCATGTAGATTTTTTTCCATCATAATAGCAGTATGGACTATGACTGTAGTAGTGAAATGCTGATGCAACCTCTCCGCAAAATAAATCTCTTTTCATCACCAAAATTTCTCTGGGAATTTGCATGATTTCAGAACCACATAATCTTGAAATTGATATAGAGAATATTCATGGATTTTTACTTGTAAAATGGGCCTCAAGTACAACTACTGGCTTCCATGACAT